ACATTAATGCCTACAAAGTATAAATTAATTAAATTCTGCATACAGCTAAAAATGGACAACAATTTGATACAAATATCGAGATACAGCAGTGGGACATCAACAATTACAATTATCTTGAGATTATTCATTGTTGTCGCTGTGCTATCTGATCATCAATGTTTGAATCATTTTGCAGTAATGCTTGACATTAAAAATTTTCTTCTGGGTAACAAAGAGGGGATAGTTCCAGAAATATAGAAAAATACCTGACAGGCCTGAGCAGGCTCATAACAGCAACTGGTCAAGGCCACATATTTTTCCCCCCAACCAGGTGCTCAGATCTCACCAAACCCATGCTTTATCTTTCAGAATCCTTATCATCACAAGAGAGTAATTCCTACAAACTTCTTGCATTTGATCTTCAGATATATATCATCCAAGATCTTGCTCTTAAGAAAAAAAGGAGTATGCCAATAGTAAAGGCGGGTAAAGGTAGCTAGATGGCTAAAGTTCAAATATCTGGTCACCAAAATTAATGTTTCAGTAATTTCAACTATAGCTTCCATCACTGCTGCACCTATTACTGTCTTTTCTTTTGGCAGGTTTTTTCTCTTCAATATCCCAAAAGTGTGATGGCAAGACAGCCTTCTGTGAAGGTAATTCAGCAATAAAAAGTAGAGTTTGAGCCCAGCCAGCATATTCCCCATATTTGCTCACAAATGCCTCTGCCACACGGCTGGAAAGCTTAGGTGTCAAACGGGCACCTGCAAGCTCAGGAAGGAGGTACCTTGTAGCAATCTTGCTCCATGAAACAAGAATACTTACATGTTAGAAATTCATGGATGCATAAATTAAAAAAGAAGAAGAAAAAATAAATTCCTGATGTTTATATCAATAAGAATTTACTGTATATAACAGATTGTTACACCAATCCATGCCATAATGCTATGACTTAAATTGCAAATTCAAATGAGTAAAGGTTATGTATTCCTATTGTAGCATTTTAAAAATTCATCACCTGAATATCAAATGCCCCTCACTCAAATAAGCAAACAGGTTTCTGTTCATATACTACAAGGATTTTAACAAAAGCCCCATCATCCCCATTCAGAAAGGAGGAAGTACTCTGATTTTAGCAGTTAACTTCAAACCGGAATTCTACTTTCTGTGGCTCACAACCTGAGTTAAAAAGAAGGCACAACAATTCTGAAAGGTTGGAAACTTACTTCCTAATCAATTTGGTTTCTAATTTAAGCAATGCCCAACCTAGTCAAGTCATTAGTACAGTGCTCATAAATATAACGTGTAAATGACTATTATATTAAACAATTAATAAGCTACAATCATGAAGAAGCATACCTGCCACACATGTGTATCAACAGGAATGGCATGGTGCTGATCGAGAGAGAAGAGAGCAATGCATGCTGCCACCTTGGGACCAACTCCAGGTAAAGTACATAAAGCATCAATTGCCTCTCGAAGATCCAATTTACGAAGAGAAAGAAGCCATTGAGCACCTCCATCTGGTTTTGATTGCAAAACACCAACCGTGCCAGTTATGTACTTGGCCCTGCTCACACACATCATGGAAAAAGCTGAACATCAAACCATGATCATGATGCAAAACACAAACTGCAAAATCCTGCCCATGTATGCCAGACATAATGGAATCATTTATCAGCTGCCATAATGCCATGGAAGTATAAATATGCCTCTCATATGAAGGGATTATACAGATATTACAAAACATTACTACTATTCAATGTAATTCATCATTTCAGTAGAAGTAATGCCTCCCTCCACTTTTCCCAATTATTTGTACTCTCTGGGTGCGGCATATAGTTATTAGATAAATTTAAAGATGTGAAGTACCAATTACCAATTAGTGGACAAGTCTAAAAATTCATTAGTAGGATATTGGATTTAGACCAACCAAATATTGGCACATTAGGTGGGCCAAATAACATTTTCAGTAGCTTGTTCAGCTGAGGAAATAATTCAGCATTCCAAATATTTCCTTACGCAACAACAAAATCTACCAATGCAAGAAGATTAACTGAGTATAGGCTAACAAGAATCACCCCATAAGGAATTTAACCAATCGTAACAACTATATAAACAGTATTAATGCAGTTAGGCAACCGATTAAAGGAAAATACAAATTTAAAAAATACTAATACAAATCAAGAAATAAAAGAAAAAACCAAACGATATTACCTGTAACCAAAACCAGCCCCACGAAGCTCTTCCTCAGAGACAACTGATAAACGTTCCAATGAAGGGAACTCATGAAACTCAAACCCACAAACACTGCCCAAATAAGTCCCCAAAGAGGAAACGAAATCCACCATTTTAGTAATCCTCCCAATATTATTATTAGAAGAACAAAGGAACTGGACCAAGCACTCAACTGGGTCCTGCCTTAAAACCCGCGCACCCTTCAAATGCTTGGCCAGCTCAGTAAACCTCGAGTCATTCTCCGAGAAAACCTGCCAGAGCTTGGCCAAGGAAATGCCCACGTTGAGAAAATCGAGAAGCGCTAGCTTGGCAGCGGATTCGGAAGGGGTGGAGTGGATGAAGTAACAAACGTCGCCATTCTGGAGGTGTTTGAGGGAGAGCAAGTGCGGTCCGATGGCGCCGGTGTATTGGAGCCGGCCTGTTTGTTTCCAGCGGAAGGTTTGGCCTGTGGGGAAGGTAAGTGGAAGGGAGAGCTCGGATTGGGAGAGGTTTAGTGGGACCCATTGGGCCTGAGGTTTAGGTTTTTTGGCGGAGATTGGTGGGGTTTGAGGAGGTGGCAGTGGTTTTCGTTTGGTGGAGGTGGAGGCGGGGGAAAGTGGTGGTGAAGGTCTTGGCCTTTTCATTGTTAGGAAAGGTTTCATCGAACTCGTCCAATAATGATTCCCTTCCGCACGATGCAAGGTGGGAGATTGATCAGATCCTTTACCCTTAATAATTTACGTCTATGTCTATCCCATATATTAAAAATAACATTATATAAAATTATCTATTAAAAATAAATCAAATGTATTCGAATATAATTATTTTTTTATCAAAACATAAAGAAAATTATCTTTAATTCATACCAATCAATTGATTAAGTTGAGGAGGCTTAGCTTGGTTTGAATTTTGCATGTTTGAATTAAATTTATGAAAGGTTTAAGAAAATATCTTATTAATTTTATAAAAGTTATCATAGATTGGCTTATTTTTTATACATGTATCGATAATAATAATTGAGTTAAGTGTTCAGAAACATAATTTGAATTTTTTTGTCAATATTTTATAAAATTTTATTTTTAATTATTTTAAATAACTTTTAA